CACCTCTCATGCAGCCACTGACTGGTTTCTCCTACAACCTCCGGGTGACCCTTGTATCCACGGATAGCCTGCCTTCCTCTTCCTTCCTTGTTTCTGTAGCTTCTTCAGGTAGGGGAAATCTGTAGGCCTGGCACCAGGAAAGTCAACAACCAGTCAACCCCCAAAATATCCCTCCCATCCTCCCCTAAATCCCATGTCTCTTGGCCACCCCTAAATCTTCCCTCAGCCCCTGCCAGGGAGGGGCCTTTCACCCTGCCCCATTCTGCCACCCGCCCTCCCACTTCTTGTCCAGGACTTGGGGCCACCATCAGCCCCACAGACCTTATCACTGCACAAACACTTCCTCTTTCCCCAATGCTGGTTCTCACACAATAGGTAATCAGGGTAAACTTCCTCTGACAATTTACGGAGCAAATACTCACTATGCCTCTGCCCTATGCTGAGGCCTGTGGGGAATCCAAGCTTGGCCTCCACCTTGAGGAACCTTGAATCTGGTCGAGCTACATTTAGCACAGAAATGAGTATCAGATGCTCTGATGCCTTGTGGCCCTGCACACCTGAGTTCTAATCCCATTTCTGCTCTTTACTAGCTGTAATATACCTTGAAACAAGTTACTTCTTACCCTTTCTGATCTTGAGTGTTCTCAGCTCTGAAATGAGAACAACGCTGCTTAGGTGTGCTGTGAGAATGAGCTAAGATAAGATCCATAAAGGTCCTGGCAGAGCACCAGAGATAATGACATTAGCTTCAGAGTTCCTGGGGGAGGTGGAGTTGGGGAAGATCTGCCAGGAGCCCTGGGCTTCCTTCAAGTGGAAGAGGAATGTGGTTATAGGAGTGGCTTCCTCCAGGGACTGAATTCTGCCTTGAAAGCAAATGCTGTAAGGAACGGCTTCTTTCTCTAGTCTCTGCTCTTGTGAGGTCTAAGAGTAGATGTGGTGCCACCTTTCAGGTATAAATTGATCGGTCCATGCCTATGGCAGGGTCAACCAATCACTTAGTCAACAAGACCCATTAGCAACTCCTGTGTAAAGGAACACACATGATGTATAAAACGTATCCCCGGGGAGCCTGGGTGGTTCAGTTGGTTAAGCGTACTACTCTTGGCTCCAGCTCAGGTAATAATCTCACAGTTCGTGGGTTCAAGACCTGCATTGGGCTCTCTGCTATCAACGCAGAGCCTATTTGGGATTCTCTCTCTCCCTTTCTCTCTACTCCTCTCCCACTTTCACTGTCTCTGTCTCTCTCAAAATAAAATAAATAAACTTAAAAAAAAAGGTGCGGTCGTTAGTTATAATATGTCCATAAGCAACACAAAAGAACATGATAGGATTAAGTTGATTTCCTATGTAAGTGCTAACTCTGGGGGCAAGGCCTAAAATGAGAAAGCACTGAAGGCCTTGAGTAGTTGGGAAATTTCTCACTGTTAGGTATGTAAAATCACAGCAGCCCAGGCAAAGTAACCAGTGATGTGTCAAGACCCAAGAGTAACATCAGCTCCTTCTCTCTGCCCCTCCGTCAAAACATGTCAGCAAAATGGACAACCTTTTAGCCTCTCTACTTTGTTCTTGCTTGCTTCTGTAGGGTTGTTTTGTGTTCTGGGCTGAGTTTGTAGGAAACATGGAGGAGGGAGAGAAAAGAGGGGGACGAGGGGCTGGGTATACTGGTAGGGGGCACAGAATGCCAGGCCAGGGGAAGTAGCAGAAAATGGCAAGCTGGTTCCTGGACACAAATGGGGGTGACATGGGGAAAGGGGTGATGCTGATTACCACTCTACTGAAGGAAGATTCTAGAGAAGGATACCAAGAGGGAGCACAGCGCAGTGGCGGATAGAGCCTCAGCATCGGTGCAAGGCTGACTCCGTTTTCATCAGGCCCTCAGCACTGGCCAGCAGTGTGGCCCTGGTCAAGTTACTTTACCTCTTTGAATCTCAGCTGCCTAATCCCTAAAAGCAAATGACAACATCTGTTTCATGGAGCTTCTGTGAGAACTGTAAATTATAGAGCTTGGGGCCTGCCAGAATATAGGTGATCAAGTTCCTTGCCCCCTCAAGCTTCTAAGAATGTTCCAGAATTACAAGACTGACCATATTTAGCATCTGGCTCCCTCTCCCACCCCCTACCAACCTGTGGTTAAGTTAAAATTCAACTACTTATAGGAAAGCCCTTCCTGTGCTCAAATTCTCTCGTGATGCATGTGGACTGGGTTGGGACAGTCATCGGTTCACCTTCTGGGGACTTGGTCAGACAACAGCTGGGTTCTGACAGCATGTCCAGTGCTGCTGGATGCAAGGGCCTGTTAGATGAGGCCCTGAAGGGGTTTGGGGACCTGCCCAGAAGCCTGACAACCCCTTTCCTATTCAGAGTTCCCGCAGCAGCAGGTTCCTTCCCTCCCTTTGCTTTGGGCAATGGTGGGGGTGGCAGTGGGGGTGGAGGGAGGGGTGACTAGTAGGAGAAAGAGAGTTGCTGGCTGGTCCCACGAGAGTGGGTGTGGAGGGAAGCTCCCCTGAAAAAGGACATTGTAGTGATGGCATGTCTGACAGTGGAAAGCTGTCTCAGGCTCTGGAGAAGTCACTCACATGCAGTGATTCCTTTTTTTTTTTTTTAAAAAACGTTTTATTTATTTCTGAGAGAGAGAGAGAGAGAGAGAGAGACAGCGTGAGCAGGGGAGGGTCAGAGGGAGAGGGAGACACAGAATCTGAAACAGTCTCCAGGCTCTGAGCTAGCTGTCAGCACAGAGCCCGACGCGGGGCTCTAACCCCTGATCATGACCTGAGCCGAAGTCGGCCACCCAACTGACTGAACCATCCAGGTGCCCCCACAGTGATTCCTAACTCTGGATGCCTCTAAAATACCCCGGGGAGTTTTGTAAAGAAAATCCCATGAGCTGGTCCCCATCTATGAGATTCTGATTCTCTCGGCTCATGGGAGTGGCTGTGTGGATCCTTGGAATTTTAACTATGCCCCCAGGTGACTGTGATGTGGGGGGAGGGGTGATCCCCAGGCTGGTGACCATCTCCACCCCCACCCACTCCCACCCCTGGGAATTCCCATGCCTCTGGCCCAGAGCTGTTCTGCGCTCCTTTCTAATTTTGGGAGTCCACATGCGTGGTATGGGTATGTAGTCCCATGGACTTGCTTCCATTCTGTCCCCTTGCAATCCACTCTGAGACACAGCAGCCAGAGAGATGCTCTTTAAATCTAAATCAGATCCCATCATCAGTGTGTCAGCTTGAGATTCTAACACCTCACCGTGGCCAACAGGGCCCTGCCATTCCCCGTCACTCTCATCCCTCGTGGCACTAGACCCTTTCTGTTTCACAAAGCACCCAGCTGCTCCCTGCTCCCACCCTTCTCCCTACCCCTGGGGCTTTGCACTTGCTGCGCCTTCTGTCTGGGGTGCCCTGCCCCGGGCTGGTTTGTCGCTGGCTCTCCCCATCCTCTGAGCCTCAGAGCTCCTCTTTCCGGAGAGGCCTTCCCTGTGTGGTCCATGCAGCCTTCCTTCCCCGCACCCATACCTCCCTATCCCAATAATACTCTCCTAGAGAGTAAGTAAGAGCTGTGAGAACAGGGAACTTGTTTAACTGGTTGTGCCTGGCACAAATGGATTCCCAATAACTAGTTGTTGAACAAATAAGTGAATATGTACACAGAATATGTTTACACATTAAAATCATGTGTTTTTTGTACATATTACCTGTATATGATGTGATCTGAGGTCTGGAGTGGAAATGAATGGAAGGTATCAGGGAAGAGGGTATCGAAGGAAAAGGGAAAGGAACATTTATTGAGCACTGACTTGGTGCCAGGCACTGTTCTAGGGCTTTTCATTACTTTGGTCCTCATAACAAAATTCCAAGGATCCACAGCCACCATGGACCCACAGAATCAGAGTCTTGGAGGTGAGGGGGCCAACATTATTGTCCCTATTGCACAGATACAGAAACTGAGACCTAGAGAAGGAAAATTACTTACTCCAGGTTAAACTACAAACAAATGCCACAGCAGGTTATTAAACCCCAGTTTATTGGACTCCAAGGCTGTTTTGTTCATTGCATCAATCTTGAAGGAGAAATTACCTTAATCATTACCTCTCTCTACTATCAAGGAATAAAAAGCCTCTGGTGAATGTGGACCCAGATAGCAAAGGCTAATTGGTGACTGGAGCAAATTTAGCAGGCGGAGCAAAATAGATAAAGAAAGGAAAGAGAATTTATTAATAGTCTTGTCACTAGATCAATTTAAAATTCTTAATTTTATTTGTGATCAGCTAAGAATTTGTACTTGTTTCTTCTTGTTAGAAAAAAATTAAAGTTTGCTTGATTTAAGTTCTTGGAACTTACTACTTACGAGTAAGACTTCCTGGGTCATCAGAATGGCCTGACGGTACTAATAACCTTTCCGAACATCAAAATGCATAACCCAGAGGGTTATATAAACCCGAAGACATTTGGCCTCATTAACCACCAGTGAGCTAGTTCATTTGCATCTTCTATCTTAAACTTCCACATTTAATTTCTAGCCAAAGGACTAGAATATATCTTTATAATATGCTTTAAAAATATCCCCAGGGGGTGCCTAGGTAGCTCAGTCTGTAGAGTGCCTGACTCTTGGTTTAGACTAAGGTCATGATCTGATAGTTTCATGGGTTTGAGCTCTGCACCTGGCTCTGGGCTGGCAGCAGGGAGCCTGCTTGGGATTCTCTGTCTTTCTCTCTGCCCCTCCCCAACTCGGGCTTTCTCTGTCTCTCTCAAAATAAATAAATAAACTTAAAAAAATATGTATCCCCATACCTTGTTTTGTACCCAGATTCTCTATAATCTTAATCTCTGGGAACCATTTCTATTCTGAGCCACAGAATGCCTTTTGTTATTTTTAAATGTCAGAGCTGAGTCTCAATTAAATCTGATCAAAATACATCAAGCCATTAAGCACGGTACAAAGATGAGTTAGACACCCTCCTTGCCCATAAAATGCAAACAGTGGAATACTTAGCTGCAGGGATCGTCACAGAGAGGCTTATGTTTAGTTAGGCAAGGACCAGCAAGTGAGATATAAACACAATGTGGAGAACCCAGGATGAGAAGTTGTCATGGTTCATTCTGTAGGCAATGAGGAGCTGTACTGATTAGGGCTCTTCCGTTTCAACAGGCAGTAACCAATTCTGAGTTAACTGAAAAGAAAAAGGGGGCAATCTGTTAGAAGGATAGCAGGGAGTTTATAGAATTGAAGGAAGAACTAACTGATCAGGCAAGAGGATATCTCCAGAGTATGAACTCAAGACTCAATTTCAAACCTCCCATTCCTGAATCCCCACTGAAAATTCAGATTTCCAGGAGAGTCTGATTGGCTTTACTTGGGTCATGTGCCCACCTCAGGGGATCTGGGATTGATTGTCCTCCAGAATTTTGCAGAACAGGGAAAGGGAGATGGTTCCCAAAGGAAGAGATGCCAGCCAGACCACCGCTGCATGCGCTAGTAGCCACTGCATACTTTTAAGCAGAAATGACATGGCCCAGCAACGTGAGCACATTTATTGACCCCTATGTTTGAAAATGAGGAAAACCGCAGTTTTGAGAGGTTAGATGACTCTTCTCAAGAGGAAAAGCTCTTTTTAAACACTAAATCCGGTTTCTCTCTCCTATGTGATTTTCCTATGCTCTAGAATCATTGGTTCAGCTCTGAAGTGTTTAAAGAAAGAGAGAGGTAGGAGATGAGTTAGCAAGCTGTTAGAGTCACCCAACATGGAAGGCTGAGCCAAGTGGGAAGAGGAAGGAAGCAACTAGACTTGAGACGCAAGGCCTCAAAAAGTAGTTTGCAAAAGAGACAGAGCATTAGAATCACCGGGCACCTTGTTAAAAACACCAATTCTGAGAGTCCACTTCTGGCCTGAACCAGAACGCGCCCTGGGTGGCGACGGAGAGTAAAACACACACCCATCCGGTGGTGGTAATCATTTTGCAATATATAAGTATATCAAACCAACATATTGTACACCTTAAACTTACACAATATTATATGTCAATTATATCTCATAAAGCTGGAAGACATTTAAAAAACACACACCCATCCACGATATAGATGATTATTCTGCGGGCAGCTGGACACTGGTCCGTAGACAGGCATTTGGAAATCACTGACCTATTAGACCCTTTTTTCTAAATGTCCTCTGGTCCAGTTTCTTGTCTTATCTCCCTGCTGTTGCAGTTAAGTATTATCAAGGTATAGCTTTGGAGTCATTGCAATTTGTACTCATTACATTTAGAGTCATCTCTCTCCAGTATCTCTTCTGAGGTCTGAGGGATGAGAATCAGGACAAAGAGGCAGGGTGGCTCCTAGCCATCCCCTTATTTTGTCAGTATGTCTGGGGCATGTGGCTTTTGACAGGAACCTTGGGAGATGACTTTGCCAGCTTTCCCTTTGAGGAGAGTAAACGTGGGTTCTTACCCTCCCTTTCGCTGTACTAGGTCTCCACAACAAACACACCCAAGTCTGGTATTTCTGAACTTACGGCTCTGTGCTGAATACATGCTGTTCCTAGATCCAGGCTCATTTTGCAGTTTCTCCTCCTCACCGCACCCTTTGGTACTGCTGATGGGCTGATTCAGCTTTGATGTGTGATAACCTCCCTGCAGGCTCTGGGTGTTTTCTCTGTGACACTGTGGAGCAGTTCAGACTTTCAGTAATATCTGGAGTCAAAAGGAAAGGTGGTGTTTGAGAGTGGGGTCAGGTATAGGTTGGAGAACTGGATTTTTGATCTCAAGTTTCTCCCCATCTCTATTTTTACTGTGAGGGGACTCATCAGAATGAATCACTAGGCTAGAGTTTCCCAAACCTCAGTCATTTGAACACCATCCTCACGGTTTTTGCCAAATCTGTGTGCCATCTCTCTGTTATTTACTTACTATTTTTCATAAAAATCAATTTATATGTTCTGCTGGAGTACTTGCTACCACGCTAGCCTTGCCATAAGCAGTAATGTTTGTGAATAATTATTTACGAAGAATTTAGGTTATGCCATTCATGAAGTCACTGATTCACAAAATCGGGTCTGATAGGCTACCTGTAAACTTTCTCCCAATACACATTAAAATAAATACATATCTACTAAAATTGTGTAACTGTTCACCCATGTACTATTCAAAATTCTCCCATAGAAGGAGGTATATATATCATTAGGAATATATGTATCACACTCTGGGAACATTATCCTAGAAAAGCTCATGTACTGTGAGGCCTGCGTCTCCATACTCCTCAATTCATCACACGTTGGATGTCAACTATAAGAATATTTTTTGAGAGGGGCACCTGTGTAGCTCAGTTGTTAAGCATCTGACTTTGGCTCAGGTCATGATCTCATGGTTTGTGAGGTCAAGTCCCACATCAGGTGAGCTCGAGCCCTGCTTTGGATAAGCATGAGCCCTCTTTGGGTGAGCAGAGCCCCACTTTAGGTGATCCCCACTTCTCTCCCTCTCTCTCCGTCTCTTCTCTCTTTCTCTCTCTGCCCTTTGTTCACTTGTGCCCTCTCTCTCTCAAAAAAAAAGAACATTTTTTGAGAGTCTATTTAGTGGAAAACAATGTTTTTATATCTTCTTGCTGCAGAAGTTAAGTTTTGGAGCAGGAAACAGAAGCCACTCAAGGTATTTTAAGCAAGAAATATATCAATAACTTTATAATTCTGAGAAGGACCAGAGGACTGAGCACCCTCTTGGAATGAATATGAGAACACCACAGAACTGGCCTGCCAGGGGAGCTGCGACTCCTCCAGAACCAGGAGGCTACTAATAAGACAGCTTGTTTTTGTTTTTGTTTTTGTTTTTTTTAATGTTTTATTTATTTCTAGGAGAGAGAGAGAGCGAGACAGCGTGAGCAGGGGAGGGTCAGAGAGAGAGGGAGTCACAGACTGAAACAGGCTCCAGGCTCTGAGCTGGCAGTCAGCACAGAGCCCGACGCGGGGCTCGAACCCACACACCGCGAGATCATGACCTAAGTGAAAGTCGGACGCTTAACCGACTAAGCCACCCAGGTGCCCCAAGACAGCTTGGTTTAAGAATTCACCACCATGGCTGGCTGTAATCCAGGGATCACCTACCACATGTCGCTCTTCTGCCACAAGTTCTGCTCGGCACTTGTGGATCTGGAAATTGAACACTGGAATGCTGCTGTAGAGGTCCACATGGCCTTGACATTGCTTTTCAGCAGAACATAGCCGAAGCATCAGGAAGGTGACTCCAGACTCTCTTCTGCCTTTTAAATCTCTCATGAGTACATCTAATTAATGGAACTTAATTTATATAGTTCAGAACCCTAGCACAAAGGAGTACAAGAAACATAAGTTTATAGCTCTCTAGCTTTTTTTTATAATTTATTTATAAATTTATTTATTTATTTTGAGAGGCAGAGAAAAAGTGAGTTGGGGAGGGGCAGAGATAGAGGGGGAGAGAGAGAGAGAGAGAGGACCCTAAGCAGGCTCCACACTGTCAGTGCAGAGTCTGACGCAGGGCTACAACTCACGAACTGCCAGATCATGGACTTGAGCCAAAGTCAGACCCTTAACCGACTGAGCCACCAATGTGCCCCTATAGCTCTCTAACTTTTAAGAAGACCAGTGAAAAGTGGGACTGGATACTGAGAGTCAGTTTAATCATATCCAACACATTACCTGCCAGTGGCAGCTCTGCTCTGAACTAAGGAATCAGTAAGCCAAGGGAAAAAAAACAAGGTCAATGCAGGTTCTTATATTATCAAAGAGTTGCTCTTTTGTGAATTGGAATTGTGTGTGTGTGTGTGTGTGTGTGTGTGTGTGTTTGTGTGTGTGTGTGTATAAAGGCAGGTGTGTGTAACCTGAAGGTAGACTTGCAAACATACCAGCTAAGTCAATAGAAGTGACCTTGAGCACAAATTGACACGCCACACCAAAAACCTCAATGACTCCTCACTGCCTGTAGAAGTGGAGTCTAGTAACAGCCTTGTGTTCTCTGCACTTTGAAAGTTGGCCTTAACACCCAGCAGGTTCTGTGACAGTCCTTCACTCTAGGCAGAGAGGTCTAGAAATGGACAAGATTCAGTCCTCCTCTCTGACTTTCTTGCCAACAAGGCAAAGACCTGTCTAAAAGGCTGTTTCCGGGGCGCCTGGGTGGCTCAGTCGGTTGAGCGTCCGACTTTGGCTCAGGTCATTACGTCGTGGTTCGTGGGTTCGAGCCCCATGTCGGGCTCTGTGCTGACAGCTAGCTCAGAGCCTGGAGCTTGCTCCAGATTCTGTATCTCCCTCTTTCTCTGACCCTCCCCTGCTCACACACTCTCTCTCTCTCTCTTTCAGAAATAAATGGAACATTTAAAAAAAAAAAAAAAAAAGCTGTTTCCTCTTCTTCTCCACTTACTAGACCTTAATCTTTCAAGGTCCAATCTTGTGCTCCTTTCTCACTTCCTAAAGCAGGCTTTGCTCTCTCATTCCCTGCTCCCTATATTAGTACAAACTGCTTGCCTCATGTGGGACCTGGTTTCCACTCTCAGAATCACCCTTGCTGGTCTTCACTTCCCTGTGACCTGCTTGGGAGGTGCTCTAACCCTGTGTCCCAGTACACCCAGAACTCCCATCCACAGCATGTGAAACTGGAAGAAAGAAACCACCTACGCTCTTGCTCCCACAGGAAGACAGAGACTTGGGAGGAGGGTGGTCTTGACTGAAGGACTGAATCCAGTAGGTCCTTATGTGTGGTGACAGCAAAAACTTTAGCCAAACTATCAGCTGTGCCAAGAAAGTCTGGAACTTATGTGCATATGACAAAGGAGAAACAGGTTGGTTCTTGGGAGGTAGGGAGAAGTGAACCAGTGTGAGAAGGGAAGTTGGAGAGAAGGGAGAGCGAGAGGACCAAGAATCACGAAGGACCTTGAAGGAGAGAGGTGTTTAGTGCTATCAGGGGGACTCTGGGGTGCGTGTCTCAAGCCTCAGTAAGGCCTGCTGCTTCCCCCACACCACAGTGAGTGGCTTTTTGTGCTTAGGCCATAATGCAATGGAGCTCCAGATCTGGACTGTTGTGGAACATAACAGGGCCCCTTTATGGGGATGGTGAGAAGATTCACAGACTGATCTAACACAGAGGAAAGAAGAGTTTGGCCCCAGAAGTGGCCATGACCACCAGAATCCTACAGGAGATCAGATAAATCATGGGTGGGTATGAGACCTTCTGTGACTGTGTGCAATTACAGCAGTGCATAGGCACACCTCCCAGGGGTTATCAGAATGCAGACTCCATTTCTGCCCTTGCTACAAGTCTCCTTTGGAACTTTGGCTGCTGACCAAACTCCCATTTAGATTCCTAGCTCTTGTAAATGAGGCTCTGTAGCTCAGGGGTTAAACTCCTAGCTCTTGTAGTAGACAGAATTTCTGAAATGGTACCCCAGTCCACATCCACAGATGTCCTAATCCCCCGAACCTCTGAATAGGAAGAGAGACCATTCCTGTGGTTGTGGTATATTATATGGCACAGTTGACCTTAAATTAAGACAGGGAGATTATCTGGGTGGGTCTGATCTAATCTCATGGCCCCTTAGGAGAGGAGAGCTCTCTGTGGCTGGTAGAGAAGAGGAAGGTGGAGATTCAGAGCACAAGGGAGATGTGATACACTGTCACTGGTTTTGAAGACGTAAGGGGCCACTTGAGAAAGAAACATGGGCACATCTAGGAGCAGAAGGCAGACCCTGGCTGGCAGCCCGCAAGACACGTACATACATACTCTACAGCCGTAGGTACTGGGTTCTGCCAACACCTGGATGAGCTTAGAAGTGGGCTCTTCTGGGTGGTGGGGGGCTCCAAAAAGCTCAGCTGGTTGATACTTGACTTGTGGGAATCCAAGAAGTGAGCTCAACTGTGCCTGCTGGACTTCTGACCTACAAAACTGCCAACTAATACATGGGCACCATTTTAAGTCACTGTTTGTGGTCATTTGTTATGCAACAATAGAAAACTAATATATGTACCTCCCATCTCCCACCTGGTGTTGACCTTAGCATCATCTCACCCACCTAGCTCGCTGGGACTCACCCTTTTATCATAGGATGCTTTAGCTGGGGCCCCTTCCCCTAACCCCTCAATATTGGTCACACTCTACTGATCCTATCTGAGCACAGGTCTGCCCTCCCTTGGACTGTTCCATCTGAAGGATCCTTGAGCTATACCCACAAGGCCTCTGATGTATCGTGCACCTCTTACCTCCAGTTGTTAAATAATTACAGTATTTAACTGCCCTGGACTGGAGTCCCATATCTAATGGGATTGGGACATTCATTACCCATATCCTCAACACCTAGCATGGTGCCTAGGACTTAGTTTGTGCTCAACAATATGTGTTGGTGATGCTGATGAATACAGAGAGAAGGAGATCTCTGGATCATCACCGCCAAACATGCTGTAGCCACGTTACACTATGTGCAATTCTCAGGAGACATCATGGTCTCCTTTGCCTCGGAGTCCTTTAACCCTACCTGTTCTTCTTTCACCCTCACCCCCTGTACCTCCTCCCTCTTTCAAGAAGCTAAATCTTCTTATTCTTCAGGTCTCAGCTCAAATATAGTATTTTCTGAAAATACTCTGGTCCCCCGTTCAAGATTAGGCCCTCTCTCGTTCTCCAGCAATACTATCATTGCAAATGCTTCTGTAACTGTAATTGTCATTTTGCTTGTCTGGAATCCCTACCAGACTGTCTGCTCTATGATGGCGAGATGAGCTTTCTTTTCGGAGGCTCTAGCAATAGGGTCGGTTCTCAATAAATATTTGTTGAATGGCCATGCTTCTTCATCATTTGGGGATCTGTTAAAGTGCAGATTCTGATCCTTATACCCATGTGGGGCCTGAAAACCTGCATTTCTAATAAGCTTCAGGTGATGCTTTGCTGCTGGTCCATGAAACACACTTTAAGTAGCAAGGTAGTAGTATAGGCACTCCCACCATTACCCTATTCTGGCAAAAAGTTTGCATTTAATAGAAGCTGGACTGGGTTTAGGGTACAAATAATGGCCACAGGTCAAAATTTCCCGTCATGGCTAAGCCAGCTGACTCATTGACAGACATAAGACCAATAACCTTGGCCTTATTAGCAACTGAGTTAATGGCCACCAACCAATAAGTAACAACATTTGGCTAATTTGCATTTCAAAATTGTTTCCTTCCCCTGCTCACATTCTAGAGCAGGTGCTAATGAACCATGAAATGTCTAAAGCACTGGCAGCAAGAAGGAAAAGAGGCAGAACTGACCCATGCCTGAAGAAGAATAATCCTTAAAAATCAAGAGCTACGTGCTATCTGGACCGGATCCTGGAACAGAAAAAGGGCATTAGGAGAAAAATTGGCAAAATCACAATAACCTAGGGAATTTAGTTAACAGTAGTGTGCTGATGTTTGTTTCTTAGTTTTGACAGATGTGCTGTTAAGAGAAACTGGGTGAGGGGTATATGGGACCTCTGTGTATTATCTTTGCAACTTTTCTGTAAATTTAAAATTATTCTAAAATTAAAAGTATATGAAAAGAATCAAGGGGCACCTGGGTGGCTCAGTCGGTTAAGCGTCCGACTTCGGCTCAGGTCATGATCTCGCGGTTCGTGGGTTCAAGTCCCGCATCAGGTTCTGTGCAGGCAGTCCAGAGCCTGGAGCCTGTTTCAGATTCTGTGTCTCCCTCACTTTCTGCCCCTCCCCCGCTCATGCTCTGTCTCTCTGTTTCAAAAATAAATTTTAAAAAAGGAGAGAGAAAGAGAGAAAAGAAACAAGAGCTAGACTGTATAGGATTACTTTACTCTGTGTATTAATAGAATTAGGAGGTTCTGAAAATGTAGAACAATAAAAAATTGGAAATCTGAACTTGGGTGGCTCAGTTTGTTAAGTGTTAGACTTTTGATTGTGACTCCCCATTCCCATGCTCGTTCTCTTTCCCTCTCTCAAAATAAACAAATAAACATTTAAAGGAAATGGGTGTTCATGGGGGAAAAAACTCCAAGCAAAACTAGGTAGCAATCAGGGAAGGAGCCAGAGGGTGGCTGGTCCTAACAGCATACCTGGTAAGGTAGCATACTGGGACACCTACATTCCAGAAATGCTTTGCCACACACCATGAATTCCAAGATATTCTGACCGCTATTTCCTCCTGATTCCTACCTTCTTTTCTTTAGCATCTCAGGAATTTCTTCCACTCTTGAGAAGCTCTTGATTCCATACTCAGGATTCAGGGTGGCTTTTGTTTTATGTAACAGTTTGTGTAACAGTGTTATCTTGCAGACGTGGTCACAGTATCACATTTTGCCTTAACTGTGT